TTGTTTATTGTTCATGTTAAAACATTTCAAATCAATTTCACAATCAAGTACAATCATTTGCACCATTGATTTTCTGTGAAACGGTTTCTGCAGTGTGCAACTTTCTTATCTTAAGAAAAAAAGAGCGATAGATAGATAGATAGATAGATAGATAGATAGATAGATAGATAGATAGATAGATAGATAGATAGATAGATAGATAGATCAATAGACAGATAGATTGTCAAAACCATCTCCATTCCTACGGATCCTCGTAAACGACTAAAAATGCTGTATTCTGCTGCCAGGCCACTAGTTGGCGATGTTACTTTGTTGACCTATCTTAGTTGACCTACTGTATTTGTGACCTATTTCTCATAATATATGATACATCACCAGTTTTCCACTGATATTAGAGATTTTTTTTTATTTATCATATAGGCCAATATTGGACATTTAATTGTTTTATTTTCTATATTTGTCCATTAGTCGTCACCTAATAATTGCTCAAAGAGATAGATCGATAGATTGATAGATCCACAGATAGATAGATAGATAGATAGATAGATAGATAGATAGATAGATAGAAAGATAGATAGATAGATTAGATAGATAGATAGATAGATAGATAGATAGATAGATAGATAGATAGATAGATAGATAGATAGATAGATAGATAGATAGATAGATAGATAGATAGATAGATAGATAGATAGATAGATAGATAGATAGATAGTCAAAACCATCTCCATTCCTACGGATCCTTATAAACGACTAAAAACGCTGTATTCTGCTGCCAGACCACTAGTTGGCGATGTTACTTTGTAAAGAAAAACTGTGTTTTTGTAGTTTACACAGAGACGATAATGGTATTTTCAAAAACCGTTTTCAAAAGTTTACATTTTCAGGCCCGCAATACGCCATTGTCGTGTAAATGAATGGTCAAAACGCATAAAAAGTTTTCCGTTTTAAGTTGAAAACGGTGTCGTGTAAACGACCCCTTAGAGCACTTTGAGGTCTCATTATGAATTTATCACTTCAAATTATTCCAAATTTGTAAAAATGGTAATCATAATAAAAAATTCATAAAAACAAACAAACAAAAAAACCCGTCACAAACCACCTCCATCTGTCACATAGAAACCATGTTTCACAGTCAAATCAATTGCAACCCCACACAGCAACATGGTGTTGGCCCAGATCCGGCCCACATCTGAGCCGTGGGGAATCGCCGCACGTGCCAGATGTGGGCTGGATCTGGGCCAACACCATGTTGCTCTGGGCCTGGATTAAATGAAGTTGCACTGTTTTGTTCTCTCATTGAATTATGGAACAAAAAAAAAAATGACAATGCTTTTACATTGACTTTAGCGCACATTTTGTTGCAAGCTGATCCTCGTCTCTCCAGAGCTCTTGGATCCGCCATCCTTTTTCTTTTTCTTTCACACTGTATAAAACCAAGGTCTCCCAGTGATACTCAATACATTGCTGATAAGGATTTCTGATGAATATGAATGAGTACAGATTGCTGGAATGCTTTTCATACCTTAAAAAAAACAAAACAATGAATGTGCAAAAGAATAGGTTCTCTCCAAGCCAACCCGATAGGTAAAGCTCCATCCACATGGCAACAGGAATTAGCCAGTGATCCGTTTGAGGCAGTTTGAGATCTTTGGAAGGCTCTGGTAAGAGTCACGTCTTCTGCGATCGGGGCAACGCTGTCGTTGCCGTGTGATTTCTCGGTAACGGCGGTGGACTCCAGTCCGGCTGGTAGAAATGGATGTTGAATGTCCGAGCCCAGTTCGCAAAGACCCGCTTCTCCGTGATGAAGCGATGGTGGCTGCCTCGACGGCCTCGCTCGTGGGAGATGTACATGGCACATTCGTCCGGGCCCGTGGGCTCGTAGTAGTGATACGGGACAGAGTGGTGCTGGGACTCCCTGGACACATTGAGAGAAGAGATTAAAATGGGGACAGTGTCATTGTATTTCTCGATTCCCAAATTAATCCGGAGCTAGATATTCGTTTTCAAGGCAATTAACCTGATTTGGTTCAGAGTATAGCTTGCTTTAAGGGGAATGAATAGATTTTATGTAATACATTAAGGTTGGAAAATGGCTGGGGGAAAGGTCATGCCTCAGCGGAGAATCACAATGAATCATTTAATTTTCGGCTCTGGGTTATTTTTCCCCGTAGCTCTGGTACACAGCAGGGACGGCCGTGCCAATATTGAAGACTATGGCAGGGAGAAAATCAATACATATACATATAGAAAGATCTGATCTTTGACCACATATGCGATTCATGACATCATTTAAACGCAGATTTTGAAAAAAAAAAAAAATCTTAGTTGATCTGTGACCTATTTCTCATATATAATATATATGATACATCACCAGTTTTAAACTGATATTAGAGATTTTTTTGTTTGTTTATCATATAGGCCAATATTGGACATTTAATTGTTTATTTTCTATATTTGTCCATTAGTCGTCACCTAATAATTACTCAAAGATAATCTTTAAAAACATGAATAATTTAATTAAAAGTAAAAATTTTATTTTAATCTCAATATATTTTTAATATACATTTTATATATTATGTACATTACAAAGTCATGATGCATTAATTCACTTAACTACTAATTTTAGTTTTTAGAGTTTTATACATTAGACATTTCATTTAGTGTTACTTTGACTACAGAATTCTAAAATCTGCTTTTTTTGTGGATGTACCATGAAAATAAATAAAAATCTTACATCAGATATAATTGTAATATCAAAGCATGATTATTTCTTGGTCAATTATAAAATAAACTAATTTGTGCCATTAATCTTGTGACAAAAATTCATATGAATAAATGGTCAGATGTTCTTTAAACATTCAAAAGTTTGTGGCCAGTAAGAATGTATTCATTTATTTATTTAATACTTTTATTCAGCCAGGATTCATTAAATTTATGTTACATTACATTGTTACACTTTCTATTCATCAAAGAATACTGAAAAAAAGATCATGGTTTCCACATAAATATTAAGCAGCAGAATCTATTTTCAACATTGATAATACACTCTAAAAAATGCTGGGTTGTTTTAACCCAATTTTGGGTCAAATATGGACAAACCCGAAATGTTGGGTTAAAAATGTAATGTAAAAATTTAACCCAACGGCTGGGTTAGTCCATATTTGACCCAAAGTTGGGTTAAAACAACCCAGCATTTTTTAGAGTGTAATAATAAATCTTTTTTGAGCATCAAATCATCATATTAGAATGATTTCTGAAGGATCATGTGACACTGAAGACTAGAGTAATGATGCTGAAAATCCAGCTTTGATGACAGAAATAAACTATATTTTAAAAATATTGAAATATAAAACTAATAACTAATTTAATAATATTACTGTCTTTACTGTATTTTTGTTCATTAAAATGCAGTCTTGATAAGCATACAAGACTTATTTTAAAAACATTGAAAAATCGTAAAAAACTTTTGAACGGTATAAAAAATGCGAAAGAAAAACATTTTCACGAGTGGTCTCAGACTTTAAGATCTCACTGTAAACCCCCAAACAATGCCTCGAAATATGACTTACCTACAGAAATCTGGAGGCACCATCCCATAAACATTGATTCTGTCACACAGCTCTAAGGCAATAGTCATTGTGAACCAGCCTGTGCTTAACCACGAGTTAGAGATTCTCCTAAAAAAAGAGAAACAGAGAGAGACAGTCTGCTGAAAACAATACAATGAATACCAAACTGCGAGGAGTGCAGTAGTTAACATTCCACAAGACATTTCCGTCAGAGATTCAGCACACACAATCCCAAGATCTTGTTGCGTTTAGAGAGCCGACCAGCTGTCAGGATCATTTCTGCAACTGAACATTATCATCAACTGTTCATCAGTTCTGCCAACCCGCCGTCTGACATCAAACCCCTGGTGAATCTTTGACAAACAACACATTAATAAAGGAAAACAAAGCATTAGTGAACAACAGCCCGGACGTGATTGATTAGAAGCCTCTGATTACTTTTGATAACAGAGTGTCCATTCACTGTCTGGCAAATGCAATGTAAATAATCTCTTGTACATGCTGGAATATACAGTGGAATTAATCAACATCTAAACATCTGCACAGTTGTGTGGAAGCTTGTTTCCGCCACATAATCATAATTGTGTGATATAAAGTCGCAATTCCCAATTATAAAGTCAGAATTGTGAGGAAATGTTTTATTCTGTGGGGAAAACAAGCGTATGTGGGCTCTTCACACAGAACGTGACTTTGCATTCCACAGCCATGCTTTCCTTTTATTCATGATTCATGATTTCGCATGATATGGCATTCCAAAAACACAGCGCTCAAGATAAACAAAATAAAACTTTAAAAAAAAGCACGTCTCTAGACTTTTAAAAATTCTACTGCCGTACCTCTCACACTTTTAATGGCCGGTTCACTCACAACATGTTTTCTTGTGTTTGTGTGTGCGCTATAGACAAGTGTTTCCCAACCCTGTTCCTGGAGGCACACCAACAGTGCACATTTCGGATGTCTCCCTCATCTGACCCGTGTATATTTCAGGTCTTGGAGTCTCTACTAACGAGCTGATGACTTGAATCGCATGTGTTTGATTAGGAAGAGTTCAGAAATGTTTGTGTCAAGTTAAACGCACTTCAGAATCTCGCCGTGAACAGAAGGTTGTCTGGGTTCTTTTAGCCCACTGTTTTATGAATTTTCACATACTCTTTTTGGCATGACTCACCTAAATGATTATTAGGAACACCATACTAATACTGTGTTTGACCCCTTTTCGCCTTCAGACCTGTACTTTGAAGCAAGTGCCATGTGATTGGTTGATTAGATAAGTGCATTAATGAGAAATTGAACAGGTGTTCCTAATAATCCTTTAGGTGAGTGTATATTTGGATTCAGCCAAACACTCTTGATCTTCATTTGTTTATGAATGAATCAGAGTTTTTGAACAAATGGGCTCTATGCACGGCGTTATTTCCGGTGAAGGATTAAGGATGCTCGATAACTTCCGCCGATCGTAGAGTCCAATGCAATACCGAGAATTTATATTGAATTTTACACTCCATGGTTATACCAAAGGAACGTTAGTCACAAAAACAGATAAAACAGACACCCCTCATTGTGTTTATGCTTCTTTTTAAAATTATATGAAATAAACATAACTATATATAAAATTACATCTAAACGCATGTACGTTTCGTTTCAATGACGGGAGAACAGTACATTTTGAAGACTCTGCCATAGTCCCGTTTTCCTCCGCTTTAATCTCCACAACCGGAAATGGACGAGCATCCTTGCGTCAAATGCGGAACTTATGCGTGCATATAGCCCATTGGTTGAATGAAAATTACAGTGAGTCCACGTAGTCACGTTTTGCGGGCCTGAAATCGCAAACTTTTAAAAAAGGATTTCAAAGTTTTGGAAACAATACGTTTCCTGAAATGTGTCTATCAACGCATTCTCATCCTTTAGACGTCATTTAGGACGCTATATGCAAAAACGGCGCTATACTACGCACATGGCAACGAATATGACACGTTTCTTGCGTGTCATATTCACGCTAAAGGATATATGACGTCTTGGGTTCATATTCACGCTAAAGGATATATGACGTCTTGGGTTCGCGTGTTATATTAACGATAAAGGGTGCCATGTGCGTAGTATAGCGCCGTTTTTGCATATAGCGTTCTATATGACGTTAAAGGATGAGAACGGGCTGTGTCTATAGGCTCGTAGTGTTTCTTTACAATGTGACATCGCCACCTACTGGCCTGGCAGCAGAATACAGCACCTGTAATCGTTTACGTGGATCCGATCGTTTACAGGGATCGTGTTGACGACGTTTTATGTACGAGAAAAACACAAAGGACAAACGTTTCTACACTGTAAAAAAATATTGTTGGTTTAACTTAAAAAAGTAAGTAACCTGGTTGCCTTAACATTTTAAATTCATTGAACTGGAAAAGGGGAGTTAATACAATGAAGGAGATTAATTTAATCATCAGAAACTCAAAATTATGTTATCTGAACTAAATAAATTAAGTTGATTTGACAAAAGAAGAAATGTTGTGATTACTACACTGTAAAAAAATAATGTTGGTTTAACTTAAAAAAGTAAGTAACCTGGTTGCCTTAAAATTTTAAGTTGATTGAACTGGAAAAAGTGAGTTAATACAATGAAGGAGATTAATTTAACCATCAGAAACTCAAAATAATAAGTTATCTTAACTAAATCAATTATTTGATAAAAGAAAATATGTTGTGATAAGAAATCTTGAAAATATTTTTTACAGTGGTACACTGTTGTCATGTAAACGAGTGTGGTTTTCGTTACTTGCGTTTGCTCTTGTGATCTCCTCTGTGTTTTGTTTAGTTTAATAACACGTTTCAGTCACATCCCCACAAATTAATATCTCATGACCATGCCATATTATCACATTCCCACGAGTTAATGTCTCATGACCACACAAAAGTAAGTGAACCAAACATGTCCCGGTCACTGTGATTATGGAGGTGGAAGAACTAATAAAAATGAAAATCATTATAATGGATGTGTGTCATTTCAGCTGTACTTGAATTGCAAATAGAGGGTGTTTGACTCATTATTAAAAAAAATGTGTTTGACTGTCAGTTGAAGGTTGGTTCATTTAGCTTATAGTCTCCAAGGATAAAGATGGCCCCGAAGACATAAACATATCATGTCATTTGAGGGTTAAATTAAATCAATAAATGAATATATTACTATATTTGCTAGTTTCTTTTGATTCATTTTTCAGACGAAACAAATGATTTCTGGAATGCACACGTTGAGTCTCCGAGTAGGACGATAATGCCTGACAATGTTTAGTACATGAAGAGCACTTACAGAAATGTGTGTGTGGTACACACTATGAAAAAAAAATCATAAATCCAAGGCGGCAGAGAGAATGACCACAACCTAGCATTTCAATTACCCAAAGAATAAAATGTAAATGTAAGCCATTATGTCACCACAAAAAATAAGTTACCAAACATAATATTCAACATTCAATATCCAGCACATGCTATCCAGATATCATGGAGACATATTGCTTAGATTTATGCCCAGAATCCCCGTGAACACATTGTGACAGACAGTATTCTCCACAGCAGGGTAGTTTAGAAGCCAATGTGACCAGATGCAGGAGAAAACAACAGAAGAAGAGACAAACGAACTGCTAAGTCCTGGAAAAACAAAATGCCAAAACACATTGGGCTGTGTTTGTGCCACAGGGCTGTCTGTCGCTGCCAGGCCAGAGAGCAAAGGCACTGCGTCCCGACTGCCAAGTGTTCCTGCATGGCTATTTACATGACCTACCATAGGCTCTACATGAATTATAGCACCATCAGCCTGAATTACGTTAAAAGTAGTCTTGGGGTCTGACTGTATAAGAACAGAGGACTGAGCAGATTGAGGCTCTCAGGGCACTATGATTCTTTAATAAAGCAATGAGCCATTAGACGGCATGTGTTACAGCGATTTTTCCGCGGGTAATGGGAGTCCACAAGCCTGATACAGTACCCCTAATAGATCTGCAAAGTTTGAACCGAATGACTCTCACATATTCATTCTTACGCAGATGCATTAGGAATTCCTGTCATAAAATACTAAGTGTGTTTCCTTAAAGGAGAACTCCTGTCAATTTTAAAATTGAGCTCATTTTTTTGTCCATTTGGAGTGCTGTCAGTACAGACAAAAACGTCAAAAATCGTTTTTGCCTACACCGTGTTATCGTCTTTTTAAAATTCGCACCCTGTTGACTTCAATGGTGCAAGTTCTAAACCTGCTTTTAGCCTCTTAAAGGATTAGTTCCCCCAAAAATGAAAATTAAGTCATTAATTACTCACCCCCATGCTGTACCAACCCCGTAAGACATTCATTCATCTTCGGAACATAAATAAAGATATTTTTGATTAAATTTGAGAGGTGGATCACTGCTACATAGGCTTCCTGAGGGAATGAACTTGACGGCCCAGACAGTCATTGAGAATAAGTGACGAGAATACTTTTTGTGTGAAAAAAACAATTCGACTATTCCTTTTCTTCCTTGTAGGCCTGAGACGAGAGTTCAAGAGATTTCCACGACGCATGCGCGAGAACTGAACTGAAGTAGTTGAAGGAGATCGCAATTCTAGCGCATGCGTCGTGGAAATCTCTTGAACTCTCGTCACAGGCCTACAAGGAAGAAAAGGAATAGTCGAATAAAGTCGTTATTTTTGTTAGTTTTTTTCGCACAAAAAATATTCTCGTCGCTTGATAAACTTATAGTTGAACCACTGTTGGCACATGGAATATTTAAACATTTTCTTCGATGACTTTCTGGGCCGTCAAGTTTCAATCCCTCAGGAAGCCTATGTGGTAGTGATCCACCTCTCAAATTTAATCAAAAATATCTTCATTTGTGTTCCGAAGATGAACGAAGGTCTTACGGGGTTGGTACAGCATGGGGGTGAGTAATTAATGACTTAATTTTCATTTTTGGGTGAACTAACCCTTTAATAGTGTCATTACTGAATATACAGTGCCAAAAAGATGCACGACCAGTGTTATACCATTTGTCTCTTGAGACTTAAATCAAGTCTGATTGCTCATTTGGCAGATTGCAGTTAAAGATGCACATTTTGAGTTTTCTCAGTAGTATTTCATAAAAACAAACTAATGAATGAAATACATTACCAGTCAAAATTTTTGGATTGGTAAGCTTTTTTATGTTTTTAAAAGAAGTCTCTTCTGCTCACCAACGCTGCATTTATTTGATTAAAAATACAAAAAAAGTTATATTTTTAAACGTGACTGGTTAAAATAATTGTTTTCTATTTTAATATATTTTAAAGTGTAGTTTATTCCTGTGATCAAAGTTGAATTTTTAAGCATCATTCTTCAGTGATCCTTCAGAAATCATTCTAATATGCTGATTTGATGCTCAAAAAATTTATTATTATTATCAGTGTTGAAAACAAATGTGAACCGTTTTATTTCTGGATTCTTTGATGACTAGAAAGTTAAAAAGAACAGCATTTATTCATTTTAATGTCTTTAACTTTTGAACAATTTAATGTTACAAAAAGCTTTCTATTTCAGATAAATGCTGTTCTTTTGAACTTTCTATATTCAGCAAAGAATCCTGAAATAAAAATATAAATAACCGTTTTCAACATTGATAATAATGAGAAATGTTTCTTGAGCATCAAATCATCATATCAGAATGATTTCTGAAGGATCATGTGACACTGAAGACTGGAGTAATGATGCGTAAAATTCAGCTTTGATCACAGAAATAAATACATTATATTAAAATAGAACACAACTGTTTTAAATTGTAATAACATTCACAATATTACAGTTTTTATTTTTTTATTTTTAATCAAATAAATGCAGCCTTGGTGAGCAGAAGAGACTTCTTTTAAAAACATTAAAAACCTTACAGATCCAAAACCTTTGACTGGTAGTGTATGTTACCAAATATGTGTTATATTTAGCATTGCTGTATAATATATGGATTGGGCCAACGATTAAATTTCAATCACAAGGCCTCTAAAAAGTCTTTGTAAACACAAGAGCTCTTAAAATGATAATTACTTTTTTTTCCCCCAAAACATTCCCTGAAGTGTAAAGTCCCAGATGCACATCCTAGGCACTGCTCATTGAATATTAATAATGTTACAAGACTGGAACTTGGTGTTTTTGTTGTCATTTTTGGATCTTAAGAATCCCTGTTTTTTGTTTGTGATTATTAATGCATTTTGTTCATTTTAAGACAGTAGCAGTTTCTTAGTTTCTGTTTCTCAAAGTAACTTTAGATAGACCAGCTCTTTGACATTCTCTATATGCAAACAAACATGTAAAAACACTGATCAAACCAATAAAAGAGCAGCAGCCGTCCTTTTACAGTCTATGTCGGGCATCTAGCAGATTTTATCTTGAGTGTTGTTGATTCTCACAGCAATCTTTTGTCTTCCCACGAGATACAAACAGATCCAAGATGAAAGAAAGACACACTTTTACATCTGCAGTGCAATATGACTGCTTTGATAATAAGGGACAGAAGCTACAAAACACTCCTGGATCATTCTAAGCCAGTTAAAGCAGTAGTTCACTTTTGCAGATAATTTACTCACCCCCATGTCATCCAAGATGTCCATGTCATTCTTTATTCAGTTGAAAAGAATTTAAGGCTTTTAATGAAAACATTCCAGCATTTTTCTCCATATAATGGACTTCAGTGGGAACCAAACGGTTCAAGGTCTGAAAGACACTTTCAGTGCAAACTGCAAACTGTTCAAAGGGCTTTAATGCCCTTTAATGCTCAAAATGAACGTATCTTTGTCCGAGTCAATTAATTCGTTTCGTTCGTTGAATGAACCAAATGACTCGGAAAAAAGATTTGTTTCTTTTTGATGAACAAGTTTGAACAAGTTGGAGTCACAAACGTGCGTCACAGAATAGAGCAAGGCGACCATTTGAGTTTATAGAACTTAAACTTTGTTATTCATTTAATAAATGAGTGATCGTTTCGCTTGATAAGACCCTTATTCATCGCCTGGAATCGTTTAAAGCCCTTTTTTGCACTGAAACTGTCTTTTGGACCTTGAACAGTTTGGTTCCCACTGAAGTCCATTATATGGAGAAAAATTCTGGAATGTTTATAACAAAAACCTTAATTTCTTTTCGACTGAAGAAAGAATGACATGGACATCTTGGATGACATGGGGGTGAGTAAATTATCAGCAAAAGTTTTTTTTTTTTTTAAAGTGAACTCCTCCTTTAATGGTATATATTTATATGTCCTTTTTAAGGAGAACTGCACTCTGTAAAAAGAAGAGTTTTTGCGATAATACCCACATGGAAAGACATTCACTAATGACAGCATACTATATTATTGTTCGTTTGAAGGATTAGAATAAAACCAGGACCTACTGTATATCCTGTAAATTGACACTTTTAAAAGTAAAGGCTCCAGAAAGGCAGTTTCACAGTGATGAACCATTTTGAGTTCCCAAAAAACTTTTCGATGAACAGTTCTTAAAAAGAACCATTTTAACTGAAGAACCCCTTTTTCCACTTTACAGAACTTGTTGTGCATTTGGAAAGATCCCATGGATCTTAAAGGTTCTTTGTGGAATCAAGAAAGGAGTGAGAGTACAAAATTACAATCATGACAAATTCATGTTCTGTGGACAACAACGACTATATCCAGCTCCATTCGCTCACACACTAATCTCCTTTTTGCTTTGATTAAGTGGAGATCTTGGCTTAATGTTCAAATCCAGAATCCCACAAACTGATTTCCCATGTGATCCTGGAGTTGAGACGAGAGAGGAAAAGAGGTTGGTCTTCTCAGAGAGCGGTAAATGTGGAATAAAAAGGGCCTCTATTCTAGGACACTTATCATCTTTCCCTTCAAACACCTTTTTAAAAATAAAAAAATAGGTCACAAAAATTAGGGCATACCACATTCCTAGTATTGGCAGGTTGATGAAAACATCTATCATCGCACTCATGTAAATGCACGCTTACGGTTCAGTTCAGAAATGGGGTTGAAAATATTTAGCTTTATTCAATGTAACATCAAAGTAGTCACATATTTAAGTTTATTTCATCACAGATACTAAAATTGGCCCCGTATCAAATAAAACCAATTCAAATTGGCTGATAAAGTGCCTATTACCTGTCTTTGCCGGTCTCTCTCTTGAATATCTCATCAAACTGGAGCATTTTCTGCCAGGAGATGATGTAGACCTTGAGTTTGGGCAGCACTTGGTTCATGAGCCGCAGGTTGTTATAAACCAGCCCTTTCCCGTCCCGTCTCATGTAACTGCTGGGTCCCCAGAAGATGAAGACCGTGTCCTGACTGGAGTTGAGGAGTTCGTGGCGGCTGCGCAGGACTCTCTGCATGCTGGAATGAGCGATGACCCTTAGGTTCGTGCGGTGACCCACGTCCACCCCGTAGCCACGGGCTGTGGGCGCATCGTTCATTCGGATGACGCACTCCGCCTGATCGATCTCTTTTCCACGACCCCCGCCGGTTAGATGACCCGAGCTGGTGACCAGCGCGCAGCTCCTGCAGTGCATCTTCAGAGGCTGTGGGGAAGAGAGAGCCAAAAGATTAGTTTATGCAAGCATAAAATCGCACTCAATATTTCATACAGTCGTCTATATTACATGCAGTGGTCATTTAAATAATGTATTCGGAGCCAAGCAAATGGGATCACCAGTGTAGCAGTTCAAGGCAAACAAGATCAACCTCAATGCCTTATTGGTGTTTCTTCAACTTATACTTTCATGGCTCAGGGGGTTGAGTTTTATTGAGACGAAGAGATTAACTTTTTTGTATGAGAGTTACAATTCTTTTTTTTAACTCAATTGCCTTTAATTTAGAGCTGTTTTATCAAAACTTTTAACCTGAAGGCAAAACAATATAGTCAAAAACACTGTTTTTGTTTGATTTTTTTCACTTGATTCCTGCTCTAACTGCATTATAACATTAGTATGTTTGCGTGCGTCTTGACACTGTTAACCTCTATAAGTGTCAGAGAGAGCGCGTTTGAATTTGCTGTAGTATACGAATTTGACAGGGAGAATGACGTCTAGTATTTGCGTGTTTCTCGACACTTACAAATAAAGCCACAATAAGCTCATGGAGCGAACTTGTCAATCATATTGATGGATGATGCAGAGGATATGCTGACCAATAAGAAGACAGTTGTACTCGCATGTGACTTGCATAAACACATTTTGAAAGGTTGCCTTGTAGAAAATGCAACATTGTAACACTTTAAAGGGATAGTTCACTTTGAAATTAATTTTTGATATGTTTTATCTTACTTCAAGGGCATCCAAGATGTAGGTCTCTTTGTTTCCACAGTATTTTCAATTTTGACATTTTTCAGTCAAACCGTTGTTGTCTATCAGTCATATAATGGAGGCAAAGGGGGTCCACCAAAAAGCATGCACAAAGAAGTCAAAGTTAAACATGATTTAATGACTCATAAATGTAAGTACACATTGATGGCCTAAGACACGAAACGAGCGGTTTTTGTGAGAAAACGAACAGTATTTATATCGTTTTTACCTCGTGTAATCACAGTGACGTCCAAGTGATCTGAATCAGCTGTTCAATGTCCAACTGAACCGAACTGAATCAGTTCAATGTTACGCCGGAAGTGATCGCTTGCGTGTGACGTCACTCAATATTTACACAGAGATTTCGGAAGTTTTACCTTTTACTAAACATATTTAGATATACCGAAATCGTCTTCCATTGCGGTTTCCCGTATATCTAAATATGTTTAGTGAAAGGTAAAACTTCCGAAATCTCTGTATAAACAAAGAGTGACGTAGGCGCGCAAGCGATCACTTCCAGCGCATGCGCAGACCAAAGCGCCCGTGCCGTCAGATAATTTTGTCATGGCTATGATTTACAAGAGGTAAAAACGATATAAATACTGTTCGTTTTCTCACACAAACCGCTCGTTTCATGTCTTAGGCCATCAATGTGTACTTACATTTACGAGTCATTAAATCATGTTTAGTTTTGACTTCTCTGCGCATGCTCTTTGAGGTGAACTGATTGAGTACCCCCTTCACCTCCAGTCTATGACTGACAGACAACAAAGGTTTGACCAAAAAATGTCAAAATTGAAAATACTGTGGAAACAAAGACACCTACATCTTGGATCCCCTTGAGGTAAGCTAAAACATATCAAAAATTAATTTCAAAGTGAACTATCCCTTTAAGTCCCTGTTTCGGAACAAAACACATAATCAAGAGGTGTGAACAGGGGCATGGTAGTGGGGGGAAAAGTGGACCTGACTACCCAGGGCCCCGTCTAGGGAGAGGGCCCTTTGAAATCCCACCAATTTTTTTTAAAAAAAATTTTAAAACCTAATTAGAATTAATTGGGCCCTCCAATTGATGTCATTAATAATAATTTTAAAAAAAATATTGACCAAAATGAACTCAGTGCCAGACACTCTGGACCCCCTTCCAAATGGTTTAGTCCGCAACGCGTCGACCGCCCATAGACGCAGCGGGCGGCAAACAAGTAATAACGCAGTGAGTCTAGAGCCTGTAACGGGAGCCTGATCTGATCATGCTGTGCAAAAAGCCCAAATCGGGCTTTAAAAAAAAGAGAGGAAAGAAAAAGATAGGAGGCAGAATGCGGGGAAGCAACTGATGACTGCTTTCTTCCCAAAAGGTGAACTGAGTTTGCTATATGCACCTAACGTTACATCCAATTAAAGTTAACGTAACTTAGTCAACTCCAGACAGCTGCTGCTAATGCAGGGTTCCAGACTGCGACCAAATTGGTCTCATATGCGACCATTTTTTTGAGAATTTGATTGTGCGAGTTAAAATTGTATGTGATGCGGTCGCGTCGCATATATACGAGTGGACGCTCGCGCAAAAGAACACCGACCGTTGTATCAGCTGCTGCAGACTGCAGTCCGTAACTTATGTTCAAAACGAACGAGTAGGCTACATCATGAATCCATTTTCCAAACCGTGTTTTTGACTTATCCTGAATCACTACGCCTGTTATAAGTGTTTATATTCGGACTATTTTTTTATCCCGGATTCCCGGGGTTGACTCGGATGCGAAGTTGCCCAGTGACTGCGTGACTCGCCATAGACATTAATGGAGAGAAGTAGCTCCGGCAACAGTGTTCTTCCGCAAGACACATAGACGTCACGCGCGCATTGCACACTGATGGTGGAACACGCCAATTACGAATTCATGAATAAAAATATAAAAATGAAAATGTCTCAGGAAACAAATTATTACAAAATGCAGGAGGTAAGGAGTGTGAGATTTCTGATTTTTGAACTAACTTATAAAATTTGATAACGAAAAATCTGTTTTAGCTTGTTGTAATACTCTAATCTTTTAAAATGTAATGTACATTTGAATGTTTAATGATTTTTAAAAGATAGAAATATGATGCTAATAGAAAAATGACAGACACAGAAGATTATGATTCAAATGTAAATAGATAGATTGAATGTAATTCAAATGTAAAATTCTTAAAATTACAGATTAAAATTACTGTCCAAAATCCATGAAAATCCTGAAATTTGGCAATGATAATTAATATATTACAGGTATTTATGGTAAGCCTTTGCTGGCTTTGGTCCATTAAAACCACTATTCATCGGCATGCATTGATTAATCCCATGGCATGTAGCAAAAAAAATAAAAAATAACCGCGACGAAATCAAATGCTGATGTGACCAACTGAGAAAGTTGGTAGCATCAGTTTAACCTGGTTTCTGAGGGTACAGTTGTCTCTCGTGTTCTTGTGTTCTCCTATTTAAAAATAAATGTTTTTCATTTAAAACTTGCATCAGTATCATGGATCAAAATGTTAGTACACAAAACCGATGTAGCCTAAGGTTTAAAGGTATTTGAGCACAAGTAGGCCAAATGCATCAATTCAGGTGGTGAATGAAAGAACCAGTCATTACTATAATCTGATTTTATTATTTAAACACTGTTTATATTTGTTTATATTCAAATAATTAAAAAAATACATTTCATTCAAAATTGAATTTTCACTTTGCTAACCCGCATCGTACAATGCCATGTGTAGGGGGCCCATTGACATTGAGAGTGTACAGGGCCCAGAATTTGGTGCTACGCCCCTGGGTGTGAAAACCCCCTAAGGTCATTAAATGATAACTGTGACTATATTAACACTATTTGCCAGAAAAAAAGACTAAATGTAGTTAAAAAAATAACAACTTTACAAAAATATCTCTTTTTTGTTGATAAAAAGATGGAACAAGACTTTACAGACTGCTAAAAGCCTCTACTGTCATGAGCGAAAGAATGTTAAAGGGATAGTTCATCAAAAAGTGAAAAAAGGGGGGGCCCCCACAATCGAGTTGAAAAATCGAAAAATATATTTTAGGCCATGTCCACATGGACACGGGTATTTTTATAACTGTGACTTTTTTTACACGGTTCGGCCGTTCATCCACACGGAAATGCAGACTCGGGACACTGAAACCGAACAATTTTCAGAAAATTTCAGATTTTCAGAAACGCCAGTTACAGTGTTGTCGTGTAGACAGTTAAACCGTGGTTTTTGCCTTGCGATGTCAGAGTATGCACACGCGCTGCGCCGTTATCCGCCTACCGAAACCTGTAAAAACTTTTTGTTAGGCTTCTGATTGGCCAACGTGGCTTTACGGTTAGGGTTATATCGCCGCCTGCTGGTGTGGCATGCTCTTGACAGCGCTTGATAGTATGTTTTTGCGTTTTCATGTGGACGGAATTTTTTTTTTTACGCATTCCGGTATATAAAAATTCCGGTTATAAAAATACCCATGTCGGTGTGGACAAGGCCTTAAACAAGTGACATAAATGAATAAATATGAATCAATGAATACTTAAAGACAAGAAAATTCTAATTTAATGATCAATATACTTCCCTACAACTGCTGCTTTGTCTGTCAGCGTATGATAGACACCTTGCGCGTGCATAGACAATTTGTGGGCGCAACTGCGCATAGTCGCGGACTTGCGGTAAAGTTAACCAATATCACAAAAAAAAGACGTATCCCTCTGGTGCTGAAATAGAACTAAGAAAATGACAGAGGAGGAGAAATAAAGAGCAACATGAAAAAACGTACGTTTGTATGATTATTTGCGGTATGTTTTGTGCAGCAATTGAAACATTCCTATCTACGGCAAGCCCAAAGGGGAAAAATACATTGCATACACACACATATACAACCAGCACCAGTACATCATTAACGGTATTATAGTAACAGACTTTGTTGGACTCTTTGAGTTAATAAAAGAGTAAAGTAAAAGTAAAAAATATATATTTAAGTAGGGTATCTATTTTTAAGTATTTATTTTGTATTTATACATAACCTCTATGTATTATTATTGTGTCAATAATAATCAAGCACAGGTGACTCCGTGTAGTGTGAGGGCCCCCAAATCCAATTCTGACCCTAAAAGGCTTGGCCCGGCTTTGAGTGAGAGTGTTTAAACTGTTTTCAAAGGATTTATTTTAGCGAGCAGTTCATTTCCACAAGGCTCAAAAGTGTCCATTGGTGAAGAAACATC